ATATATATATATAATATATATATATATATATATATTATATATATATATAAATTTATAATATATATATATATAATTTTTTAATTATTTTTTTATGATTTTAAACAAAATTTTTTTTAATTTACTTTCTTTAAATATTTGAATTTAGTGCATTTCAACTTCATTCGACTTTGTAACTGTAAAAAATGGTTATATAAATATATTGTCTATATTAAATTATATAAAAAATGAAATATTGCTCTTTCTAAATATCACTTCTCAAATATATAATATCTTTTTAAATTGAATTTATATATTGAATTTTCTATTTCATATATATATATATATATATATATATATTTATATATATATATTTTTATATATATATTTATATAAAAATCTTTCTTTTATAAAAAATTTATTGGCCTTATTCACGAGGAACAAATATATGGTTTCAAAACTTCATTTTTCAAACAAATCAAATTGATTTTCAGTGTTTAAAATCATTGCCTTCATTTCATTAATGAAATTTAACTTTTAATCTTATTCGACTGGAAAAATATAACGATATATATCCCTTATCTTATAATCTCAAAATTCAAAAATTTAATTGAAATCTCATAAAAATTATAAAATTCAAATAAAATTCTATCAATCAAATTTATCTGATCTTTAAAATATGTCTACCCCTTTAATTATTTTTAATATTAAAAAAAAAGGTTTAAATTATAAAAAAAATAAAAAATATATATATATATATATATAGTAAGAAGTCAAAACTAAGGGACAAAATTTTAAAACCTAATATTTGTTAGAAATAACAACTGTGAAAAGCTGAAATTTTGACAACTGGTAGTCGTTATCATCCATAATAACATACTAAAATTTGAATCATTTGCAAAAGGATAGAAAAAGAATTATAACAATTATTTATTTATTTTCAAAATAGGATCGTCCAAAAGTAAGGGACAAAATTGAGAAAAACAATGTAAACAGTATAAAATATTCAAATTTTGATTTCAATAAAGAATAAGTCTTACCCTAGTCATTTGTAAACGTTGCATCTTCGACTACACCAACGCGAAACTTGAAAACTTGATTACTAATGAGACCAAGCTTTTGAAGCTACACAAGGAAAAGCACACCATTAGAGAGATTTCAGAGAAAAAACGTTCAAGTGTTGTAAGGTCTTCATTTATTTAAATCCTTCTACAATGATACTGGCAAAATAGTTAGTGCTTTTAAAAATTTCCAAGACCCATCTTCGCTAAGAGAAGATCGAATAATGCAGCGTATGTCATTAAAGGACCGTTTTAAGTCTTGCACAGAAATTAAAAGGGTTATCGAATACCTTTAAATGTATGTTGTTAATGTGTTTTACAGACTGTTTTTAGATATCTGCAAGAAATATATATGTTTAATCCGGAACCCCAAGAAGAAACCACTTGTTAGTTCGAAAATATTCAGAAGAGATTAGAATTTTGCAAACAGGTATGTAATTTTTCATATGAAAATTGGGCAAAAGTATTTTCAGTGATGAAAGCAAGTTTAATTTATTTTTCCATGATGGAAAAATAAATGTAAAAAGACGTTTGGTGAAAATAAGATAAGTGCAAAGTTTCTACTAAGAAAACTGTCAAAATATTTTAGGGCTGGAATTGCAATGGTATTTGGAATTCTTTTTCTAACTAGGTAAAATTTTTTTCCTCTTGTTCGATTAAAAAGGGTATTTCTTAAAGTCGTCTAGATCTATCTTGATTAACACAAGATCATGTTGTTAAATCCTTTTAATTTCAGTCAAAAATTGGTTTCGAAACAGGGCTAACTTTATGCAAGAAAATGCCCCATGTCATTCGATCTTCTAATGAAAATTTTAATCAGTCAAGGTTTGGAAATGGATGGAATTTTTGCAAAGTATCATTTAAATTTAAAAAATCTTTGGAAGACCTTTGGAGTTTTTTTAAAAAAAACTTTACGGAGGATTTTTCTGTTTGTAGCTTCAAGAAGAATGGTCTAAAATTAGTATCGAGGAACATGTCAAGAACTGATTCGTTCTTGGTGTCGAAGATGTGCAACTTTCATTGAGAGCAAAGGCTTATTTTTTAAATATTGATTTGTAATGTATTTTTATTGTTTTTTTGCTGTTTACATTGTTTTTCTCAATTTTGTCCCTTAACACGTTCCAAATTTGAAAATAAATAAATAATTGTTATAATTCTTTTTCTATCCTTTGCAAATGATTCAAATTTTAGTATGTTATTATGGATGATAACGACTACCAGTTGTCAAAATTTCAGCTTTTCACAGTTGTTATTTCTAACAAATATTAGGTTTTAAAATTTTGTCCCTTAGTTTTGGACGCTACTGTATATATATATATATATATATATATATATATATATATATATATATATATATATTATAAATATTTTTGATTTTCAATATATATAAATTTAATATAAATATAAATTTAAATTTTCATATTGTTTGTAATCAGAAATTTTATAAAATTTTTCATATTAAAATTGATATTATATAAAATGACAAATTTCAATATGTAAATAAAATGTGTACATTTTTTTTTTTTAATATATTTTGTTAAAATACAAAAATTATATTTTATCAATTATTTTCATGTATTAAAGTAATTTTCAATAATATTATTTTAAATTGACAAATTAAATATAATTTTATATTTTTTTATATTTTTTATGGTCCAAAAAAATGTAAAATAAAATTCAAAATATATATTTATTTATTTATAATGATTTTTTTTCATTTGTTTATTTTTGATAATATAAATATATACATTTTAAAATTTTAAAATTAAAAAAAATTTTATTTATCAATTTTGTTTCAAAAAATTATAAAAAATTTTTAATATCTATATTATCCAGTTCATTTATATATAAATTTATAATTGTAAATGTTTAAGATATTGTTTTTCAAACATTTTGAAAAACATTTTTATTTGTTTTTTTAATTATTTAACATAAAAAATTATAATATAAAATATATATATATATTATATATTGTCTAATTTTTACAAATCATTAATTTTTATTGCTATATTAAAAATTTTTTTTGATTAAAATTTTTAAAATAAATAATCTAAAATATTAAATTTATTATCAAAATTTTTCAAAAAATAAAAAGAAGTCATTTTTTGGAAATGAAATTTATATATTGAATTGATTCAATGTTTAAATAATAAAAAAAATTTTAATAAAAAATTTATTTAATATAAATAACCAATTATAATATGAATAAATTAAAGAATATTTTTAAAACATATCCCTTTTATAATATCATTTGTTTAAAACAAAATATTTTAATAAATAATTTCACGAACGATGTTGAAGATTGAAAAAGAAAATTATAATTTTTTTTAAATGACCTTAAAAAATTAATCATAAACAAAAATTTTTTCCGGCCAATTTTAATAAACATTATTAAATTTTTTGAAAAATTACAATTTTTTTAAAAAAATAAAATTTAAAATATTTATTTAAAATAATGGAAAAGATCATCAAAATAAAAACCAATAAAAATTTAAAAATGTTGTTTTTTAAAAAAAATATTAAATTATTCATTTTAATAAATATTTGAAAAATAAATATATATATAAAATATAAATTTTATAAATTTGATCTAATTTTTTTTTTTTTGATGATAAATTAATAAAAAATTTTTTTTTTTTCTTTTTTTAAAAATTTTTTTTAAAATAAAAATTAAAAACCTTATGATTAAAATTTTAACCATTAAATGGCTATTAAATATTAAGAATAATAAAAAAATTCATATTTAAACAAATAACATCATAAATAAAAATAATACAATATATATATATATTATATATATATATATAAAAATATATATCTAAATATTCAATATAAATGAAAATATATATATATTTATATATACATTTATATATATAATTTTGTTAAAATATAAATTAATATATATATATAATATATTAAAATATAAATAGAAAAATATATTTATATATTTTTGTCACACACAACTAATATAATACTGGTAAATTATTGGTATAATATATATATATATATTAATAAAATTTTGGGGAATTAATTCTATTTGTTTAAATTTATTTGAAAAATTAATGAATATTATAAAAACAATATTTTTAATGAAATAATATCCGAATATGAAATTTCATGAATTTATTGAATTTTATTCTTTATATTCATTTGTTAATGAGTATTATTAAAAAAAAATATTTATTTAATTTTTTATAAAATTCTTTTTTTTTATAAATATATATATATATATATATATATATATATATATATATATATATAAATAAATTATTTTTTTTAAATTAATAACATAAATATGTTATAAAATCACTTAAAAAAATAGCCATTTTGTTTCAACATCTTCAGTGTAAATCAAGTTTTGATGTTGAATGTAAAAATAAATGGTCTTAAAAGTTTCAGAATTAATTAACAATCCTTCACAAGGGGAAAATTTTGTTACAAAAATTAGATTGACCAATCAAAATACAAAAGTATAGGAAAATTCAAAAGCTTGACAACGAAGTCATAATATAATAGCTATTCAAATATTTAAAATATGGGTAGTTTTTAAAAAGAAATTTATTCTAACCATTTTGTTTTACTAAAATATATGATAAAATTTAATATTAAGATTAAAACTGCTAATTTTGTTAATCAAAATTTAATCGCTATTAAGTTTAATGAAAGAAAATTATATATATATATATTCAATTTATTTATTTCATAGTCTAATCATATCTATCTATCATGGTATTCTCATATAAACATATATCTTTGTAAGTATTTTTTTCAATTCATTTGTTACAAATGATTTTACCAATTCCGAAGAAACATTTGTGTCACTGATTCCATTATTTGTCTCCTCACAAAAGAAACACTTTGAATTTGTTGGTGATGCGATTTTTTTTTCAATTTCAAATAAATTCCTCGTTCTTTGCAACTGGTCACTTGTTATATCTGATACAGTGTGATTCTTCTGCCGACATGATCCAATATTCTTTATCGGAACTAATTGAACTCTTCTATTTCTATTACGTATTGCCCGTAGGTTTTGTTTATTATAAATCAATTCGTTTGAGTGCGAGCCCGTTTACAATGAGTCCACGAACACGCTGCCCGACCCAGAGATTGAATTCACAATCACTATATCACCAAATTCACGAACGAACGATTTAATCCACTAGGCCGCAATAAAACTCACATGGAATATTGGTTAAAATCCGTCTCACTCATCCTTATTCTGATAATTTACATTTACTGCTTATAAAGGTATGCACTTTTGCTTTTTAAATACCAGTAGAAAGAAATGTGGAGACGTTCGCTTAAATGTAAATAAACTCATACAGGGTGTCCATAAAGTTCGTGTGCACTTTAAAAAATTTATAACTTTATTTGTATTTGCAATAGAAATAATTTGTAAAAAGGATTAGAAAGAAGTAAATCTATATTTTTTAAGGTTTTATTCAAATTTTATTTAAGTTTCACATGTCCTCCATCATTAGCAATACAAAGGGTAATACGATTTTGCAGTTCACGGAAAACATTTGCCAACTGATTTACAGTAATGTTTGAAATCACATTAGTTATTTTAGCTATACTTAAAACTAGGTACATTAAACTTTATAACATTTTTTACAGATTATTTCTATCGCAAATACAAATAAAGTTATAAATTCTTTAAAGTGCACACGAACTTTATGGACGACCTGTACATATTCCTAAATCGATGGAGAGTTTAACAGAAGCAGACATAGATCTAGATACACATACGAAAAAAAAATATATGTTTATAAATTTTCCATACAAATTCATGAAGGACACAGTTCTATTTTGAGAATAGTTTGATAAATTCTTTTTCCGACATCTCTTGGTATCCCTTATATTAGAGGAATTTTTTTTTTTTTTTGGGTTTTTAAAAAGTTGGACCATTTTGTGTTTTTAAGTGAGTAACCCCATGACATTTAAAGCCTAAATCTTTCCATGTATTAAATAAACATGTCTGCCAACATATCTAATCTTGGACACGAACAAAATATTTACTTTAAACATATCGCCATCAGTAAACGTTCTTTCAAATTGCCAGAATAAATGTCAAGTATATTTTTATTATTTTCTTTATGCATTTTTGCTTAACATTTGAAATAATCTTAACTTATTCTTCGAAAAAGATGAAGGAATATTTCTGAAGGAATGGTTTATATTTTGGCGCGAACTTTATGCTGATAATATTTTATATAGGCCTTAATATGATGCTGCATATATTTTGTCTGTAATGGACACGACAGTTACTTATATAGAGTTGACCCCCTTGCATTTGGAGACACTCTCCTTCAAAAAGAGTCTTTTTACGACAGATGAGAATGTATATTTAAACTTTTTTTCCATTTAAAATAACGGCATTTTAAACGGTTCAAAATTACATTCAACTTTAAAAAAAAGACTAAAAAAGATTTTATATGAAAAATTTTTGGTAACAGTTTTTAATTTTTTCAAAAAAATATATTATTTTTACGGTATCGGTAAACAAGTATGAAGATAAGATTCTAATGGAAAAAATTTGGGGAAAAGAATTATTAGTTAAAGTAATAAAACTAGATCCTCCCAAAATTTATATATAATATAATAATTGGAAAAATATATTGAAATGCTCAAATTAATAAAAAAATTATAATTTTTAAAGTATAACATAAACTAAAATATGGGTATCATCTTGATGGCCTGGGTCAAACATAATTGGATATAGGAAAAATTCTAATGGACATAAAATATGGGGATCGGTTTTCTATTATTTTAAAGTAATAAACTGATCCCCAAACCAAGAATTATATATATTAATATATATAATTGGGAAAATATATTGAAAAAAAATGAATAAAAAGCTATTTAAAATAAAGACTTAATAAAATATGGCATCATCTTGATGATTGCAATCTGGGTCAACAAAATTATGATATAAGATAAGATTCTAATGGAAATAAAGTAATAAAGGATCGGTTTTCTTTATTTTAAAATAATAAACTGATCCCCCCTTCTCAATTACTACATATTATTTTAATAATTGGGAAAATATATTGAAAAAAGCTTTTTTCATAAAAAAAAAGCTAATAATAGTAAAGACTTAACAAAATATGGCATCATCTTGATGGCATGGGTCAACAGTAGGAAGATAAGATTCTAATGGACATAAAGTGGGGGATCGGTTTTCTATTATTTTAAAGTAATAAACTGATCCCCCTAACAAGAATTAATATTAATATAATAATTGAAAAAATATATTGAAATTTTCGCATAAAAAAAAGCTAATAGTAAAGACTTAACAAAATATGGCATCATCTTGATGGCATGGGTCAACAAGGAAGATAAGATTCTAATGGACATAAAGTTTTACATCGGTTTTTGATCTATTATTTTAAAGTAATAAACTGATCCCCCCTAACCAAGAATTACTACATATTAATATAATAATTGGGAAAATATATTGAAAGGCTCGCATTTTCTAAACTAATAATAGTAAAGACTTAACAAAATATGGCATCATCTTGATGGCATGGGTTAACGAGTAGGAAGATAAGATTCTAATGGACATAAAGTTTTTTTTATCGGTTTTCTATTATTTTAAAGTTTAAACTGATCCCCCTAACCAAGAATTACTACATATTAATATAATAATTGGGAAAATATATTGAAAAGCTCGCATAAAAAAAGCTAATAATAGTAAAGACTTAACAAAATATGGCATCATCTTGATGGCATGGGTCAACTAGGAAGATAAGATTCTAATGGACATAAAGTGGGGATCGGTTTTCTAATATTTTAAAGTAATAAACTGATCCCCGTTCCAAGAATTACTACATATTAATATAATAATTGGGAAAATATATTGAAAAGCTCGCAAAAAAAAAGCTAATAATAAAAGACTTAACAAAATATGGCATCATCTTGATGGCATGGGTCAACAAACGAAGATAAGATTCTAATGGACATAAAGTGGGGGATCGGTTTTCTATTATTTTAAAAGTAATAAACTGATCCCCCAACCAAGAATTACTACATATTAATATAATAATTGGGAAAATATATTGAAAAACTATTTTTATAAAAAAAAATAATAAAAAAGACTTAACAAAATATGGCATCATCTTGATGGCATGGGTCAACGAAGTAATTCAGATAAAATTCTAATGGACATAAAGTGGGGGATCGGTTTTTTATTATTTTAAAATTATAATAAAAATGATCCCCTAACCAAGAATTACTACATATTAATATAATAATTGGGAAAATATATTGAAAGGCTCGCATAAAAAAAGCTAATAATAGTAAAGACTTAACAAAATATGGCATCATCTTGATGGCATGGGTCAACGAGTAGGAAGATAAGATTCTAATGGACATAAAGTGGGGGATCGGTTTTCTATTATTTTAAAGTAATAAACTGATCCCCCTAACCAAGAATTACTACATATTAATATAATAATTGGGAAAATATATTGAAAAGCTCGCATAAAAAAAGCTAATAATAGTAAAGACTTAACAAAATATGGCATCATCTTGATGGCATGGGTCAACGAGTAGGAAGATAAGATTCTAATGGACATAAAGTGGGGGATCGGTTTTCTATTATTTTAAAGTAATAAACTGATCCCCCTAACCAAGAATTACTACATATTAATATAATAATTGGGAAAATATATTGAAAAGCTCAATAAAAAAAATTAATAATAGTAAAGACTTAACAAAATATGGCATCGTCTTGATGGCATGGGTCAACAGTAAAAGATAAGATTCTAATGGACATAAAGTGGGGGATCGGTTTTTATTTTTTAAAGTAATAAACAGATCCCCCCAAGTATTACTACATGTTAATATAATAATTGGAAAAATATATTGAAAGGCTCACATGACCCATGCATCCTTTTCTATCTATTAGGGTCCCAGTGATGGGCAAATAGTTTCTCCCTTTAAACTGATATAAAAATATCATAAAGGTGTAAAAATAGGTTTTAATACGAGTAATACTTTGTAAATAATTATTACTAGAAATAAATTTTTTGAAGAAAAAACTATTACCAGCAATATATTTTTGAAAAAAAATATTACCGGCAATATATTTTTTCAAATAATATTACCAGGAAAAAAAAGTTGTCGGCATTAAATGACCCATTGAGGTTGATAAGTCGTAAAATAAATGTCACTATCTGTAATATAGCAACAACTAAAAGCTTATGAAGCTTTTATTTGACTAATTCAGCTTTAGTGCTATGGTCGTTTATTTTATCACAGTAGATGGTCACAAGCGATAAGGTAATTGGATGTGATTATTTTATTACCACATCACCAAAGGACTGAATATTGACTAAACCGGAATCTTGCAAGATAAACGGCTACCCACTAAGAAGTGTGCAAGTCTGAGGTGAAACTGAACTTTAGTTTGTAACATAATAATCATTAATATCATATATTCGTGAACGAAATTACTATCTTTTCGTATATCTGTCAGAAACGCACCATCTGAACCTCTGATCACTTTGTCTGTATATATGGTAACAAAAATTCACAAGGCGAGCTTGGCGTAATTGTAAGGTGTGGTCAATTAATGTAAAAGAGACGACATGTTCGACAGTTTTGAACTGCCTTTGATTGAAGACCGTTAATCAGAGAACGATGGCAAAGATAAGAAGCCATAAGTATCTTATGTCGTGACTTAAATCTTTCAATTTCATTCATCGAGGTTCTAGTCTCCAGAAATATTGACAATGAATAAAAGCCACATGAGAGCGTCGAGGTTGCAATTAACAATATACTACACAGAGAAGTATTTATATACACATCTAAAAGCAACATCATTTCATTCTCGGTCTCTCTCTTGTTTCTTTTACCCCACCCACTCTTTCTCTTGTCTTTCTCTTTCTCTCTTACGTCCAAGACAACTTTTTAGTCTCCTGGCTTCTCCTTGATTTCTCTCACCTTTTTTTAATTCTACTTTTATTCCTCCGCCTCGTTTTCATTTCTTCATTTCTCTTTCTTTTTCATTTTATTACCCTTTTTTCTTTCCTAATTCATTCTTTCTCATTCCTTCTCATCTTTTTTCTCCTCTACTGTCTTCTTTGGTTTATTTTTTTTAAATAATAATAATAATAATAAACATTAAAAAAATAATCATCCAAACATCGTGATCAAAGACCACAAAAAAAAAAAAAAAACAGAAATTGCTTTCTTATTGACATAGCAGTTTCTGAAGACTACAATGTGTCTGAATATCTCAAAAAAAAAACTATCAAAATATAGTGGGACCTCAGTTCACGAATTTAATTCGTTCCTGAAGCCCTTTCGTAACGCGAAATGTTCTTAAACTGAAACTATTATCCCAATAGGAAACAATGTAAAAAGGATTAATCCGTTCCTGATCCCAAGATGATTGCTTTATTTAAACGTTAACAACAATACTTTGTGCATAAGTTTATGCACAAAACTAATGAAAATCATTAAATCTAAGAAAAAAAAATCCAATACTAAATAGATAAAAATATAGACGAACACTTCAATTTTAGCGTTCCTGCAAGTAGGAGAGTTGATGGCGTAAGTGAAAGGGGAAGGAAAGAGATGTTATTGTTTGGAAAAAAGAAGGAAAGACATGATTGTCTTTTTATTTATAAGAATAGTAGAGATCGTTGATTTTGTCATATGAAACTGAGTAGGAAGAGATAATATCATCAACAATTGTTTTTCTCTTAACTTTTCTTTTTCCTTTACCAATATCACTGCTAGCTTTCTTTAGAGTCATGACTGAGGACTAATAAAGACAAAAAAGGTTGACTCAGAAATGATTCCGTTCGGGTAAACTCGGATCGTCTCGGATTGTCTCAGTTTTTCTCGGATTTTCTCGGTTCGGCAATGTTGTTCGAGAACCGAAATTTTCTTTGATAACCGAGGCGTTTTCATCTCGAATATCCTGTTCGAAAACCGATTTGTTTGACTTTGGAGAACCGAGGTTTCACTGTACAAAAAATAGGGCACATGAAGACATCAATAATTTCAGTTGTGGTTTGTAACCTGGGTTTTAATGGAAAAGGTTTCGATACACGCATTGAATTTGTCCCTAGTAGAAAATGCCTTAAAGAAAAACTATTCTCACAATTACAGCTCACATATTAGCAAGGGCTTTATCAATGTAAAATGTGTGAGCTGTTTGGTTGTTTTATTTTTATTTATTTTACAAAAATATTCAGTGAAAAATGTCATGAAGCCATTTCTGACCTTAGGTCTCTGGTTGGGACCCAGAAGTAAAAGACTGTGCAGCAGAAATCAAAGGAAATGATAATAATAAAGGTGGTATCAGTTAATGAATTTAATAAATTTATATTACACTGACGAGGTGTATATATATATATATATATATATATATATATATATATATATATATATATATATATATATATGTGTGTGTGTGTGTGTGTGTGTGTGTGTGTGTGTGTGTGTGTGTGTGTGTCTGTCTGTTGTGTGCATATATATTTATATATATATATATCAGATTGTTCATATCGATCTATTTATCTATCAAAGGATGTTCATATCTGTCTGTCTATCTGTCTAATATTTTTCATATTTATCTATCTATCTATCTATCTATCTATCTATATATATATATATATATATATATATATATATATATATATATATTATGATATATCAGGTTGTTCATATCTATCTATGTACCTGTCTTCTTTCTATCTATATATCTTTCTCAGTCTGTCCATATCTATCTCTCTATTCATTTCAGTCCATTCGTATCTCACTATCTATTTCAGTTCATTCATATCTATCTATCTATCTATCTATCTATCTATCTATCTATCTATCTATCTATCTATCTATCCGTACATATATATCTATTTATCTATTTATATATGGAAGGCGGTTCATATCTATCTATCTATCTATCTATAGGAGCAGGTAGGCTTTCCTACCGCCCGGTCAACCTCCTCCCCCTTCTCTTGGACATGAGTAGAGGCTTACGCCTTGTTTCTTGTTTAGGAAGGGGTTTCAGTTCTCTCTCTCTCTCTCTCTCTCTCTCTCTTTCACTGGCCTCTGTATCTCCAGTTGCCTTTTTCTATCCACTACTCTTCTCCTCATCCTTTCTTCTATCACTCCTATCTGATCTTGCTCCAAATTTTCTGTATCCCCTTGCGTCTGAGTGGCTTTCCGCCTTGTTTTGGGTGAAACGCTTAAAAAAAATATATATATATATATATATATATATATATATATATATATATATATATATATATATTTCATTTCAGTCCATTCATATCTCTCTATCTATGTATTTCACTCCATTCATATCTATCTATCTATCTATCTATCTATCTATCTATCTATCTATCTATCTATCTATCTATTCATTTCAGTCCATTCATATCTATTTCATCTATCCATGTATCTATCTATCTATCTAAGACTATTCAAAATCTGGTCTATCTATCTATCTATCTATCTATCTATCTATTCATTTCAGTCCATTCATATCTATCTATCTATCTATCTATCTATCTATCGAAGGCTGTTCATATCTATCTATCTATCTATCGGGAAGATAACGGTTAATCATTAATTAGAGTCCAGGTTTAAATCTTGGTGTGCTCTCCTGGAGTTTCGAACCAGCCCCTGCTGACGGAAGGCAGAAAACGTTCTCTGTGGTTATTAACTGAATGCATTTTTGTTTTACACATTACAATTTACAAAAGCTACTCGTTACAACAGCTCACCATTGAATAGAAGTCATTTTTTTTTATTTTGGAAGGAAATTGTCTTTAGCAGCGTTGCTTTGTCGGCTGATCACTAAACATAGAGATTTGTAAATATTATTCATTGAATACGCAGTCTACAAACCCACTGGCTTTTATTTGTATAAATATCGATTCCACGTTCTAAGAAAGCAATACTGTACACAGTGAATGTTTCTATGATTGTTGGTAGTTCAACTTGAATCTGTCTCACCGGGTTGGACTTTCTGTTTTACTTTATATCCAATATTGCTTATTACTAAACACAAACAATGGTTTCTATGGTCTATATAAATAAAGTGCAGTGTACGTGTGTCCGTCTGTTCGTTTTTTTGATCTAGGTGAATCATAAACAATCTGAATTAACAGGTATTAATTACTGCAGTAACACGCAATTAAATATTAAATACATAGGCCACTTGAAGTTACATTTAAATATTGAGTTTAAAAAACAATTCTTTATTAAAGTTTAATTTTAATTTTGTTTTTCGTTGCAGTTGCAATTGATATAATCTAATTAAACCGTAATTAAGACTTAAGCGGGTCACGGCACTTTGCTCATATGTTTTTTACTTTTTTTTAATTTTTTTTATTTTTTCTAGCAAGCGTACTGTGGCGTATTCAAAATAATTCATAAATATTCCCTAATGTCTTTTAATAGCGACTTTATGTGAAGGGATCATAAAGAATGGTGATTTTAAAATAAAATAAAAATTACGCCCAAAATAAATGTAAACAAACCACGGAGATCGGTTGCGTATACGAAGAAAGATTATGCCGAATTAAGGTGTCGAATAAAGATTAAATAATTTTATTATTTCTAAATTCTTATAACTTTTACGTGCATAGGGCGCCTAAAGTAAAAGTCCGATAGCCCAAAATCCCTCCACAGGAGCTAGCTTAAAGGCCGCCTTAATGGTGGCTTCTAGGCTAGTTCAAAATAATTCCTAATTTAACTCATTGTATTCTTGTATTTATTTAATATTTATAACATTATTCTAATTTTTGCAAGGTGGAGTAATGGATAGCGGCTCGGATTGAGGAATCAGAGAGCCGAGTTCGAATTCCAGTCGAATCCATTACATTCACTTACGTTCTTGTGAAAGGTATGAATCCTTTTTTTCTACCCCCAGCTATGGGTAAATAGCAGAACAGACCGGCTTCTATAACTTTGGATGGCAAGTGGTCTAACGCAGAAAGAAATGGCAACCTACTGCGGAAAAAAAATCTGCCTCGTTAGTCATGTATCGAAAGATACATGATCGCCTAAGGGTGTATCAAGGATGACACATAACTGACTGACAGGATAAAATCTGTCTCACTATTAGGTTCAATCAATCATATGTGTCTATATTTTCTCAAGGAAACATGGCATAGTGGATAAAGGCGTTGGTTAGATCCAGTGACAGGACCCAAAGAGTGTGAGTTCAATACCCTGTTAAGGCAGTGGAGAACTTTCAGAGGGAGATTAACAGGATATAACTTATAACTGACATCCATTAAACGTGAGAACTAGAAGAGTCTACTCCAAAGAGAGAAATAAAGGGTTCAGTTCGACATTACAACCACCTGAAGAAGGCCGGAGCGTACAACGACCGAAACGTTGTAATAAATATGGCGACAAAGATGAAGACAATAGTTCGAATAATGTAAATAGTGTACATAATAGCTCATCTCAGAAATATAGAAAGATACTGAAAGGCCGAAATCTTGTAATAATTATGGCGTCAAAGATGAGAACAATAGTCCGAAAAATGTAAATAATGTATATAATACCTCTTCTCAGAAATATAGACAAATACTAAAAAGCCGAAACGTTGTAATAAATATGGCGACACAGTTGAAGACAATAGTCCGAATAATGTAAATAGTGTACATAATACCTCATCTCAGAAATATAAGGTAGATACTAAAGAAGGCCTGAGCGTACAACATCCGAAACGTTGTAATAAATATGGCGACAACGATGAGGACAATAGTCCGAATAATGTAAATAGTGTACAATCAATAATAATTTTATTTGGCGAATTCATCACTAAGAAAAATTGATTATTGAGTATGAAAGAATGAGAAAAAAGAGAAAACCTTATTAAGGAGCGTGAACAATAAAAGAAGAGGAAGCAAAAAGACAATAGATAACGACAGACTTTGCATTTCGATTTTTAAAGATTAAATTTGTCTGGAAAGCATGGAGTTGGAACAGAGTTCCACAAACGAGAAATTCGAGAGAAGAAAATGATCGCAAAGAATTTACGATTGCATCTAACCAAATTCAATTCCATAAAATGATTAAACTTAGTTGACAATCAGGTATTGCTCTTAAATTCATTGTCTTGGTTCCGTAGCGGAAAGTTCAACAGAACAATTACCAAGAACGTATTTATAGAAAAGGCACAGGCGGCAGGAAAGTCACTAAAGCCGAAATGTTATTTTAAGACTGATAATATTGCAGAGTCTTCTTTGTATTTTATAAAGAATCGCTAAATATATAACAGGCGCATATGTGGCAGAAGTATTGAAAGAATGAATGACTATATAAATACATAAGATGGATTTGGGAGAGAAAAATTGTTTAGCATGTCAGCCAAATTTTCAGCAGCAAACCTAACAATTTATTCAATATAATCTTATATAATTCAATATCTCTTCAATACAATCTTATATAATTCAATATCTATTAAATATAATCTTATATAATTCAATATCTAATTAGTATAATCATATATAAAACAATTTCTATTTAATATAATGTTATATAATTCAATATCTATTCAATATAATGTTATAAAATTCAATATCCTTCAATATAATATTATATGATACAATATCTCTTCAATATAATCTTATATAATACAATATCTATTCAATATAATCTTATATAATTCAATATCTCTTCAATATAATCTTATATAATTTAATATCTATTCAATATAATCTTATATAATTCAATATCCAATATATTGTGATATAATTCAATATCTCTTCAAGATAAGGTTATATAATCCAATATATATTCAATATAATCTTATATAATTCCATATCCAATGCAATGTTATATAATTCAGTATCTAATCAATATAATCTTATATAATTCAATATCCAATATATTGTAAATATAATACAATATCGATTCAATATAATATTATATAATTCAAGATTTACTCAATATAATCTTATATAATTCCATATCCAATATAATCTTATATAATTCAATATCTATTCAATATAATCTTATAAAATTAGATGTCTATTCAATATAATCTTATATAATTCCATATCGAATATAATCTTATATAATTCAGTATCTATTCAATATAATCCTTTATAATTCCATATCAATATAATATTATATAATTCAGTATCTAATCAATACAATCTTATATAATTCAATATCTATTCAATATAATCTTATATAATTCAACATCTTTTCAATATAATCTCATATAATTTAATATCTTTTTCAATATAATCTTATATAATTCAATATCTTTCAATACAATCTTATATAATTCAATATCTCTTCAATATAATCTTATAAAATTCAATATCTATTCAATATAATCTGATATAATTCAATATGTATTCAATACAATCTTATATAATTCAATATCAATATATTGTTATATAATACTATATCGATCCAATATAATATTATATAATTCAATATGTATTCAATATAATCTTATATAATTCCATATCAATATAATCTTATATAATTCAGGATCTAATCAATATAATCTTATTTAATTCCATATCCAATATAATGGTATATATAATTCAGTATCTATTCAATATAATCTTATATAATTCAATATCTTTTCAATATAATCTCATATAATTCAATATCTTTTCAATATAATCTGATATAATTCAATATCCAATATAATCTTATATAATTCAGTATCTATTCAATACAATCTTATATGACTCAATATCTCTTCAATACAATCTTATATAAATCAATATCTATTCAATATAATCTGATATAATTCAATATCCAATATATTGTTATATAATGCAATGTCGATTCAATATAATCTTATTCAATTTTATGTCTGTTCAATATAATCTTATATAATTTCATATCCAATATAATCTTATAGAATTCAGTATCTATTCAATATAATCTTATATAATTCAATATCTATACAATATAATCTTATATGATTCAATATCTATTCAATATAATCTGATATAATTCCACATCCAATATAATCGTATATAATACAATATCTATTCTATACAATCTTATATAATTCAATATCTCTTCAATTCAATCTTATATAATTCAATATCTCTTCAATTCAATCTTATATAATTCAATATCTATTCAATATAATGTTTATAATTCAATGTCTATTAAATATAATCTTATATAATTCAATATCTATTCAATATAATCTATATGATTCAATATCTCTTCAATACAATCTTATATAATTCAATATCTCTTCAGTATAATCTTATATAATTCAATAACTATTCAATATAATCTTATATAATTCAATAACTATTCAATATAATCTTATATAATTTAATATCTGTTAAATATAATCTCATATAATTCAACATCTATTCAATATAATCTTATATAATTCAATGTCTATTCAAAATAATCTTACCACAACAGTAATAAAACCCCCATAATCACTAAGTGTGACAAAAATATCAGTTAACTGGCCGAAATAAATGCGGTTCATGTTAAAGACTTTAATACGTCATTCGATATCTTGTGTATTTTTTTCTTCTTCTTTTATTCTCCTCCCTTCTTAGTATATCTTTCTCCTATTCTCCAACATTCAATCCTTTGCATCTTAGTGG